TATAACCAAACTCAGTCTGTGGAATCGGCGGTGTCTATTTGTAAATTCATGTCTGTGTTTGTATGCCTAACCCTCTACCCCCATATTTTATGCATACTCAGAATAAGATGCCATCAAACTTGACAAAAGATTATCTGATGAACCATTCAGCTATAACGCTTATCTAAATTGAATACTGTGTAAAATAAATTACAGTTTGCTAAAGAAAATGAAACATATTATACCATGTAATAAAAACTGCTTTTACTCCCCAAATCAATCATGTTTCCCAAGGTTGATGAATAAACTGAAATCTCTGCTCTTGTAAGCACCAGGCTCTGGGTTGGAAGATAGAGACAGATAGCTTCTGCACTGCTTTATATCTGTGGAATGATTCCTCTCTTGAAAGAAGGCACTTGTGCCCATGTGTTTTTCTGCAATTTCTTTCTTTTGTAGTTGTTTTGTTTCTGTCAAGTATTTCTGAAGAGTACATGTGGTTCTCATGAGGGGTAAGGTGAAGTGGCAGGAAGCGTGATGCCTTCTAGGTTCTTGTCTGAAACAAACCTGCACAAACAGCGAGGTTGGGCTTTCTGAAGGGACACAGGACTCGAGGCATCTTGCCAGCAAGTGTGTTCCTTGTAAAGAGAGTGCCAAAAGACTATTCTTAGTTTTCTCAGGTCAGAGTTATCCCAAAGGGCTCATGTCTTGAGAATTCTCTGCCAAAGTCACTTTGGAAATGTTACTTTTTTCAGTTGAGTCATTTGTCCCTATGCTTTCAATAGGGGCCTGTGGTTTGAGAGAGGATTTTCTCAATTTCTTGCATCTTATAGTGTCAAGAAAATATGAAATATTAATACATGTAGAGCTTTCTAGTATTCAAATGGCAGGACTTGAACTAAAATAAATACTAGACTTGCTTTTACTTCTGCTTATGTGTCCTTCTTAAAAACTGCTATCAGTAGGGATATGATGCTTGCAGTACTCTAAAAACACAATGTGTAAGTTCACTTCTGTAATGGCATTTATGTGCCTGATTCCCACTGAAAGAATTAATATTTAAATATCTAGGTAACTTGTAGAAAATCATCCTGTATCATATCAAAAGATATAATTATTTTTCTGTGAAGATCTCTTTCAAAAAAACAAAAACAACAAAACAAAACCCCGAAACAACCCCAAACCTACAAAAAAACAGGCAGTGGCTACCTTTTTTTTTTTTTTTTTTTCTTTTTTTGACTGGAAATGTCTGCACATCTAAGCACTTGATCAGTAGCATCCAAGAGGATGCAAAATGTCTCTAGTTAGGCTTTTACTTTGCTATTCTTCCCTGGTTACAATGTAGAATATTTCACTGCGTTATTAGAGTATGCCTACCCAGTGATTTGGATGTTAAATTTTGCTGTTTGCATTAGGTTTTTTTTTCAAAGTAAAAATAAAAAAGGAGACTGAAATTTCAAAGGCAAAACAGAGATGAAAGACAAAAATACTGCTTTACACTTTTACCAAGAGAAGAAAATTTGCACTAAGAGAATTGAACTTGAAATTACATCAAAAAATGTCCAGGAGCAAGTTAAATAGCTTTCTCTTTCAGATTTTATTTGAACATCTCACAGAAAGCACACGTTTTCTGTTCTCTTGTGTTAATGTATTAGTTTGAAAAGTATCCTAGTCCTATGCTGTTTGATGTGACTTCTCTGAGGGAGGAGTATTTTATTTTTTTTTCTTGCTTCCTGGGAATCTATAATCACACGGGACTTTATCATCATACAGGATTTTATGTCCTGACAGTCATACATACAAATATTTCTAGTCACTGTAGGAATGTCAGAAGGATCTCATAGATTCATCTTGAAGAGTTACAGCTGATGAAAAACACAGCTCCTTGGGGGCTGTCAGAGACAAACTGGCTGGGTACCCTCTTCTCATGTTCAGACTCTCTCTGGGCATTCAGACCTTGACACTGACTTTTGCTGCCTCTCCTCATGGGCCTGGGGTCTTTCATAACAACTCTCTCACCATTAAACAACTAAATAGTCAACAGATAAAGAGCATGTTGCAGGCATGGAGTAAGAAACCTACCCAAGTCAAATAAAATTCCCTAAATCACTCTCCCAAGAGACAAAAGAGGGGCATGCAACTGTTTTCCAGACTAATTGTAAAAGCTCAACTTTTTCTCAGTTTCTTGAAGTAGTGCACCCTGGTTTACACCAAAAGTTTGGCTTACGACAAAAGTGTTGGAGAACATAAAAAGGTAGTAAAATCCTGTCTCCTACACAGTAAGAAATGGGGAAAGAAAATCACAGAATGGTCTGGGTTGGAAGGGACCTTAAAGCTCATCCAGTTGCAACCCCCCTGCCATCAGCAGGGACACCTTCCACTAGACCAGGTTGCTCAAAGCCTCATCCAACCTGGCCTTGAACACTTCCAGGGAGGAGCAGCCACAGCTTCTCTTGGCAACCTAGGCCAGTGTCTGACCACCCTCACACTAAAGAATTTCTTCCTAACATCTCATCTAAATCTCCCCTCTTCCAGTTTAAAGCCATTACCCCTCATCCTATTACTCCCTGCCCTTATAAAAAGTCCCTCCCCAGCTTTCTTGTAGCCCCTTCAGGTACTGGGAGGCCTCTATAAGATCTCCCTGGAGCCTTCTCTTCTCCAGGCTGAACAGCCCCAACTCTCTCAGCCTGTCCTCACAGCAGAGCTGCTCCAGCCCTCTTATCATACTGGTGGCCTCCTCTGGACTTGCTCCAGTAGGTCCATGTCCTTCTTGTGTTGAGGGCCCCAGACCTGGATACAGTACTCCAAATGTGGTCTCACCAGAGTGGAGTAGGGTGGGAGAATCACCTCCCTCTAGGTGTGATGAGATAAATTATTTCTTTATTTATTTAAGGGCTTGGAAGAGATACAGACAAAAGTGGTGTGAGGCGATTTAAACTGAAAGGTCATGATTTAAGGAAGGACATCATAGTCATGCCCACAGGAAAGAGGATATGAACAACATGTAAATAGTATATAATATAATAATAATTGAAACAGAAAGACTGTTATTTTGAAAATAAATGGGTAATGACTTCAATTAAGGGTGGAGTCGTACATTTACTCATGCATATTCTTAATTTAGATGGGATAATTCATGTGGTGACCCAAGTGAATAATATGTAAATTTTAGTGAGATTGAGGCTTGTTAAATTTGCAAATCAAATTACTGCTCAGAAATATTATCTGATTTCCAGGTATTAAGTCTGAGAACTCCATTAATTGTTCAAAAGTAGGTAGCCAGTATATACGTATCAAATGAAAAAGTTAAAAAGCACAATCTATGTCACTGTGGGGCTTAAACAAAGCAGTCCACTTCTGGGAAAGTTGTAACAAGCCCACAGGATAAAATATGGTCTAGTTCTTATACACAGTCTACCCAAGGTAGATGCTGTGTGTAGATTCATGGTTTTAATTAAGTTGTTACCGAAATCTAGACATGACAGAACTTCATCATGCTAAAAAGAGAAACCTGACTTGTTTTCCTGAGAATATAAAGCCCCACAATTTTATTTATCTCTTAGGAAAAAAATAATTTTGTAATATAGGCAATTATAAATAAATTTTATTCAGTCCTTATTTTGCAGGGCACACACTCATTGCAAAGGATCATAATAATAAAAAAACTCTTGTTTAAATGGACTCCACTTAAGTAAGAATGCAATTTTTTTTACAGAGAGGAAACAAACACACTTGCCATACAACTCGTTAGATGTATCATCATACAAATACTTTAAGCGGCCTTGAGGTAAAATAAACACTGAAGTCAATATCATCCATTCTTCTGATGAACTTGCAGGAGAACATTTCTCCTTGAGGTTGAGAAATCTGTGGCAGGAGGATGCTCCAAGGGCTAGGGGAAGAGGATGCCCAACTGCTTGGGGTGCTGATGGCTGGTGCTCTGTGGACCCTACAATGTGTTTACAAAACTGAAACATCAACAGATAATTTTTTTCTAAATTTAAGTTGAGTTTTATCTCACTTGGGTCTTTTTACAGCTCTGAGATTGTCTAAACGTGTGTATGGTACCATGAATGATTTAAGCAATGTGGATGATTTACATAAAGTATGAGCCAGGGCAATGCTGCTGTGTGGGTGGCAAGATTGATCTGTGCTGAAGTGACCCATATAGCAGTTGCCCACAGGGTCCCCAAAAGATTGCTCAGGGCCTTTGTCACAGAAGTATGTGAGGTTCTGCGCACATGATGCACCACGGGGTCTGGGAGGGGTTGGCAAATATTTCATTAATACAGTAGTCTGGAAACAAGTGACTGTCCAGATATGTGGTGTGGCAGCTATGTGGGGACCCTGGGATGCCACCAACATGCCAAGGTGGGGCAGCTGGTAAATAGAGCATGGGAAGGGGAGGATGAGCTGCAGGCAGAGTGGCTAGGAGGGCTGGCAGGAGCTGAGGAGCGTGGCCAGGAGAGGTGGAAGGCAGTAACCTAGCCCTCTTCTCTGGGCATCCCTTAGTAAGTGGTTGTGTACCAAACCCAGGTAGAATTACATACAGTGGCAGTTGTGAGTTCTCATTGGAAAAGTGGAAGTGTTTTCATTTAAAGTAGGGTCCCTGCTCTGTAATTACTTGTAAATATTCTTTATCAGTTTTATGAACCGTACGTAGAGTAGATGGCTTTTGGCAACTCCTGAAAAATAGAGAGAAGACTCTGACTAGACATCATTTGCACTGTTGTTTTGGGTTTTTTTGCCATTTGGAGTACATATACATTACAGCTTGCTTGAAAACAGCTGGTCAAGATGAGCCCTCACAAGAGCAGCATGCAAACCCCTCATACTGAGATTGGCACCAGCAGTCTGTGATTGCTGAAGCTGCAATGCTGTTCCAAAATGTGTGGTGCTCAAGAGCAGCGAGGTGCAGGCTCTTCCTGGTCAGTGTCAATTCCCTGCTGGTGCTTGAGACTTGTTGGGGACCTTGGCTTTCCTTGGTACAGGTCCTGGTGTGGCTTCGCAGAGCATTGCTCACACTAGATGTGTTCTGGTTTGGACAAGACCTGCATCTCCTGCCCTCCATCACTCCTGTCCCGGAAAGTTCCCTCAAGCCTTCGTGTTCTTCTTTCC